CTGCTAATGTTTCTGATGAAGAATTCGCGATGGACTTCGAAACGTCAGGCAACAAAAGTCCTGTCCCAGCGATCACATCTTCTTTTCACTTACTTTCTGGGACTCGCATGTTCCCTTTCGCTGGCAATTATTGATATATTAATTTCAAGAGACTGGCTTATAGCATTCGGTGTAAATTTTGGAAACCATCCTTTCATCATGTCAATGGAAGGCTTTCCTAACTGCAAGCGTTTCATGTATTTTTGTACTTAGTCCGCAAATGTAAATTCTGTTGGCACATGGCTAAATACCCAAAATCGTCAGTTTACTTATGGGTGTTCTTTTTTTCTTATAGTCCAAGAAGCCTGTACAAATGGCTTTCTGGTGGTTTGTTACCAGCCGCACTGGGAACCGCCCTATGAAGCCCTCGTTGATCGCTTGGAGGCCGGTGAGGCTGACGTGCGTCTGGCCTACTCCGGCTTTGCAGATTCCTCCCTGCCACAGTGCAGCCTCACTGCTCTGAATTACTTCGATGACCGTGTGCTCAACTTTGCGAACGAGGCGGCTGAACTCTGGCGCACCACCTTCCTCCGCCTGTCTACTCAGGCCGCTCCGCCTACTACGACCAATCGGAAACCATATTGTCTGCAACTGGATCTGGTGAAGATGACCTACGCTTGCGGCATTCGGATATACCAGCTAGGGGTGAGCATGTTTATTTAGCAATCACAAATGCAGTCGAAAATACAGTATGGCCGGTATTTCATGTAAAATTCCTAAATTTGCTAAAGATTGACAATCGCTCGCAAACCGGTATTAAATAGGGTTGTAAAACTGAGAATCGTCCAGCCTTATTTTAAGCCACTTGAGTCACGACAGAATATTAGCTTCTATAGAGCTTCTTTCTGACAACTTAAAAAATTATCTACCGTAAAAAAAACCACTTAAGTAGTATGCATCTAGCTGAATGATTTTGACTAGTTTTATAAATTCGAATATCTTTTATAGGAAGCATACACAGAATTATTCTTCTTTGTACTGGTTTGGCATCAAATAAGCTTACTTCAAACGTTATACTTAAAGAAGGAATATATTTCGATTTTAAAAGGTTTTTAAATTTCCGAATAAATTCAAAGCTATGGACCGTTATAAGGAAATTTAAGGTTTCAATATTGCGTGCTCTGTGCATCTTGCGTAAGGAAAAATAAGTTTTTCGCTATGGTGTAAGGAAGGGGTCACATAACCTTCATATAATTTTGCAATAGACGTCGATTGTTCTGCATACATTATACGCAACATTAATAATACATGAAGACTGCGTCATTTGATACTAAACGGGTATAATAAAGAATAATTTTGCGAATGTTTTCTATGAAATATATTGAAATTTATACAGGTGGTCAGATTCAATGAGGTGAAGGCATACTACCTAAGTAGGCTTTTTAGAAAATATGTATTCCCTAAGCGGCCAGAACGCAACTCGCTAAAAAGCCGGCATCTGGACGTGACTGAAATAATGTACGATAAGGCTGCACAATAATAAATCTTACAACCCGACTTAATGCCGTTTACGAGTGATTATAAATCTTTCGCAAATTTTGGAATTTTGCATGAGATGCCAACCATACTCTATTCTATTTTCAATTAGTTGGCAGCGTAGCTAGTCCATATCACGTGTGTCCACAGCAAAGTTAAATACATGCCACTTTTAGCACTCCAAGATCATGACAAATAGCAGTTGGAACAAGAGCGTGCGGTGTTTAGGCTTATCATACTGCCCAAATAATTAAAGGTGTCGAAAATCAAACTTATAGATTGTCAGGTTGTGTTCCATAATCGCCGGGACCAAATGTAATGTGTGGGTCCCGTCCGCATTACATGTGGCCTAAGTCAGCGGGGACATCTATTTTTGTGTCCTAATTTGGACTTGGCAATCTTTTGTTTTTTATTCCACAGCTTAAGGAAAAACGTGGAGTAGGGATTAGAACTACATATGGAATGAGTTGAGATTTTTTGGGCTCGCAGTGTTGGCAGTCACAGCCCTTGCCCCAGCGTGCATTCCAGTCTGGTTCAGGTGCTCGTTAGTTTTGCAAAACAATTCCTGATATTTACGCTTTATTATCTAAAGTCTAAAACGAGCTCTTATTTTATATTGCAATGTCTTTATAGGCTGATGATATCGCAAACCGTTTATGTTCACGCATTCAATGAAATGCAGATGTC